CTCACCTGATCCTTGACCCAGCCGGCTCCCTACAGGCTACTAAACCGTTCCCCGCATCCTCCTCTCCCCTGGGCTCTGGCGTTCTAAAGACTCCTGACATCATCAGGTTGTATGCAGGTCCATTGATCTGCATTAGACGTGAGGACGCAGAGAAATATCCCATGGCTAGAGAGGAAGGGGAGGAAAGTGAGCACTGACCTCCAAGTGAATAATACAGCTTTATTTGAGTATCCCAGACAAAGTCTAGCACTTAAAGCGGACCTCTACCCATATCTTTAAAATAACAACAAACACATCTTTTGAAATGTTTAGTAATGACAATCCACAAACACATACATATAGATAATTGCCAGCTTAGTATTGTTTGCATACCTTGTTTCTCTTTTCTTCCCCAGTCTTCTGTCAGTGGCCATGTTAACTAAGGGCAGGTTACTAGTTCTCCATTTACTTCCTGGATTTCTGGCATATGTGACTAGGGCATGTGACCAGACATGTGACTAGGGCATGTGACCATGCACATCATCTCAGGGGAGGAAATGCATTTCCCTGAGACTGCAGATGAGATTTCCCAGCAATGCTCTGCTGATGACAAGGCAATCTCAGTGTGCATTGCTTTGCCAAACTGAAGTCATTTGCCCTTTAAAAGCAGGAAGCGATTGCTCTGCGAGTGTAAGTATTTCAAAATCACAACATTTTACACCAGACATGTCTATGTTATGATTAATCATCATACATAGAGGGATGCATTGGTAGAATTTGATTTTTGAGTGTAAAAGTCCACTTTAACCCTTGCAGTGCATGGGGTAGCCCCATTGCAAGGGTAAGGTTTTTTTCTATACCCAAAGTTCTTCTTTAACCAGTACTACCGCTGTTACAAAAATTACCTGCTTTGAATAAGCAGTTATTGTCTTTAATTCATGCTTTCTTTAGCAGTTCTCATGTCCATAATGATATCAGCAATCATTAGTATAACTCAGTCACTTGGTTTCATTTAGTGTTTTTCATTTTTGGAAACAACTTGAAAATATTTATATAAAATATAAACGTATTGCTCACAGATTTTGTATTAATGTTTTTCTTTTCCTTTTTAAAAGGGGCACATTAAAGGTTATATATCTCATCAGCATCAGAAGCTTGTGGTCAGCAAACAAAACCCCTTTCCACCCCTGTCAACCGTCTGCTAAGAAGAAATATGATGGAATACAATTTATGATAACGTGACGTTTTTTCTGTCAACACAAGCCGCTTAAACTGCAGCCAAATGCTTCAACAATAAATTCAGGATCCAGCATATTGATACCAGCCATTTTGGAATTAACATCCCTTAATTTTAGTACTTCCTACAGTGTACAGTTTTACTACATGTATGTATAAAAATAAACCATCTTTTTCTATAACCTTTCTCAAATTGTATTCTTGGATCATAGAATATGCATCTAGTGCAGGGGTCCTCAAACTTTTTAAACATGGGGCCAGTTCATTGTCCCTCAGACATTGCTGGGGGCCGGATCATAGTTTGAAAACGGGGGGGTGGCTGTGGTGCCTCACCGCCACGCCCCCTCCCGTACCAGAACAAACGTGTTTTTTTACATTATGTTAGGAAACATTTATTATCACCCAATTTTTTGGTAAAATATAAAAGACGGGGTCACGTCGGGTAAATAGACACCAAACATGTCAAGCTTACAAATTGCGCGCACTCGCAAAATCGCAAAAAGACACCACAGCCAAAATTGACCATAGGCGACGCTTTAAAAGCATTTACCGCTCATCAGTTTAGTGTTATCAGTGATTGATGACCCTAAAATTATTGCTCTCACTGCGACGTTCGCGGCGATATGTAACATGTGCGGCGTAATGGGCGCAATCGTCGTTTTCGCAGGTATGCGCACCTGACGCATGTTTGCATGCGTGTATGTATGGGGGGGACTTTTAAAAAAATTATTTTTTTTTTATTCTTTTTTATGTGTAACTTTAAAACATTTTTTGGGAAACTTTTTATTTTTTTTTCCACCTAACTTTATTGCTATTACATAGAGGGCTAAGAAACCCCTCCTATGTGATAGCAAAAGATGTGACAGGTCCTCTTTATGGAGACATCAGGGGTCTCCAAGACCCCTAATGTCACCTAGGACCCCCGAAGAAGCTGATGAAGCAGAGATCTGCTTCATCAGCTTCTCTCCAGCGTCTAAAGCTGGAGAGTGACACAAGAATGCGGAAGTGATGTATTATACATCACTTCCGCATTCTTATAGCGGAGAGGGGACCGGAGGGAGATCGTGTACCGACCTCCCTCTGATCCCCTGTCAGTGTGGCACTGTGTTGGTCCCGGGCTCGCACCGGAGCCCGGGATCAGCGTGACAACGGGAGGAGGGTCAGAGGAGGGATGGGGACACACGGGCCGACCGCCCATACAAGCGATCCGCCGGCTCTATAGTCGGCGGATTGCTTGTATGTTAACAGGCATCGCTGCCTGTTTTTAAATTGGCTGTATTTCCCGCTCGCGCGCCGCACGGTGCGCTAGTGGGCGTGGCTGATCTAGGGAGCTTGGCGGGCCGGATCTGCCCCGCGGGCCGTAGTTTGAGGACCCCTGATCTAGTGTATTGCATTGAACTGCATAGGAAAGTTTAGACACTTATTAGCAGGCGTTGGCAAAACAAGTCACCAGCCTTCAGGTTTGTTGTCCCGTGGGGTGCACTCGTGGAACATGTTTGTAAGACAAAAGTCGTGCGACCGTACCGTGGAAACGGTTGCACGCCTTGCACACACCTTGTGATTATTGTACGATAATCGCAAGGTGTGTGGGCACCTCTACAGAGAGATCTCGCTAATCAAGAGCTCATGGTTTCATAACAGAAACCTTTCCTATCCAACAAGCTACTGCTCACCTTTTGTGATTCACAATGATTCTGAAACCTATGACAGGTGTTCAGGCAGATCAAGCTTGTAAACAAAACTGTTTACAGCTAAATCAAATGTAAAGAACAGATCAGTCTAGAAGTCAGGCCTAGATTACAAACGCTGTCCTGACACCTGGATTTTTGGAACCCACTTATCAATGGTTAAAAAAAATGGGAATTTCAACACATTTAAAGAAGAACTCCAATAAATGTTTTTATTAACCCTTACAATGAGGCTAACCCCGAACTGAAAGGGTTAAGTGCTCGCTTGTGTCTAGGTTTAAAAAGAAAAAGTTAGATCCGAAGCTCTGAGCTGGTTTATTCTTAGACCGGTCCTTCCAACATCTCTCTCCCTCTTCTGCAGTGGTCTAAAGTCCCATAAATCATCACGTCTATACACTGTATAGACGGGAGGACCCTGAAGAGGATGCCAATGCTGCAGGGAGCCCTTTGACAGCTGGCAGGCTCAGAGCTTCAAGTGTGTATATCTTTGTTTTTTTATAGTATAAATGTGAGGATTTACAGGTTTTTAGACCACTGCAGAAGAGGGAGAAAGATGTTGGAAGGACCGGTCTAAGAATAAGCCAGCTCGGAGATTCGGATCCAAACTTTTTTTTTTTTTAACTTGGACACAAACCAGCATTAAACTCTTGAAGCGCGGGGGTAGCCTCACTGTAAAGGTTCATTAAAAAAAGCCTGGAGTTCTAAGGTGTATTTCCACTTTTGCAGCCAAATTGGGATAACACCTGTTTTATATCTGCTGCATGTTTCTCATTTACATACCATTGCCTTTTTTGTTATGCTGATTCCACAATATATGCTGTATTCTAAAAGAAAAGTTGTTCTCTGTACTGAGGTTTGCTCTGCAATGCAAGCGGTGCTGGCATGTTAATGTTAACATATTTAACCCTGCCTCTAAATTGCTCTCATTATAAGTTAGACTAGATTTGAACAATATCTGCCATAACAAAGTGTTCTAGAAGCATTGTATTTTAAACGAGAACTATGAGGTGAGTGATTTCCACTCATTTTCATAGTTATAGCTGACCTGTAACAATGAAGCTGTCACACGTCGGCTCTATTTATTTATTTGAAATACATATATAAAAGCTTTTTTTTACCTGCCAAAGGGTTTGTATTTCTGTCCATATAGCCTTGAAATTTACACAGTTCTGCCATGTTTGGCAGGTCAGGAGACCTGAAGCTTCTCTGCCGCAGTTTAGTAACAAGTAAAGCTCTTACCCCTCCCTCAGCCCGTGACTGGACAATGGAGAAGCAGTAAACTGATGAGCTCATCCCTGCCACTATGCTCTCTGCTCCTATTGTCATGCCTCGTTAGTGCATTAGCACTGCAGTACAACTGACAATTCTTGTGCTGTTTCTCTCTCTCCCAGTCTCTGCTGTACAGGGGACTGCAAAAAGCTGGTACCAATCAAATTCCGGTACTTGACGCTGCTTGCATAAAAATAAAAAAAATACTGTATTAATTAATACACATCTGCCTTTATTTGTGTATTTTTCATCTACCTGAACTTTAGCTTTAAGTTTACATTCACATGGGCGATCTAGGGTGGCTACTGTGCTGTGTTCAGAAGCGGCTAGACACAGCTGCACTCTGCTATAGCTGCATACAAGCTGGCCGATTAGCTGTAGCCAGCTTGCATGTGGCCTGAAATGCCTTCCCTGGATGCATACTGTGTGCATCCAGGGCCAGTTAGAGGCTTTATATGCATGGAACTGCTCAGATGAGTGGTTAAATGTGAACAGCGGTGCTTCTGGCCATAGATTTGTACAGAGTAGCTTTGGCAACAAGATTCCCAGTCATTCTCACCAGCAGCCGTCCCTTGCCGCCCATGTAAATGTAGTCTTGTGCTATTTTAATAAAACCATAGACTCAATAGTACCTGACTGTTGAATTTTATAAGAGTTGCCTTCCCTGATATAAAGGTTATAGAGAACTTTGTATGAAAAATGAGAATATTACTTGGTATGTAAAATCTACCTTTAAAATAAACCTATTACCAGAATGAATTATCTGTTACAATTTACAGGTGATTACAATTTACAAAAAGAATGTGCAGTAAAAAAAAAAAAAAAAAATTAGCTGTTCTGAATGAACCACATTTTATATCTGGACATTTTAGTAAATAGAAATACATTTGGGTTGCTTGCCTCTGCATTATTTGCACTCATCATACCTACCAAGAACCAGGCACCCTTATGCTCAATGGAAAAATGGCTTCCGTCCACTAGAGCTGAATCTATAGCATTTTTTGAAATCCCACAGAACAGTCGGTTAGTCTGTGTTACATTAAAAGCCAGCTCACAATGTCCTTTGTCAGTTTCTGCTGCAGAGAATTGAATAGGCTTTAATTCCAGAGTGGTGTTGGTGGGCATCTTCCAACCACTCACAGTACCCGATATACGTGGCATTAACACATTCTCGGCAAAGTCTTTCTGAGGGATGCAAATGGGTAAAGCATGCTTGTGGAACTTGATACTGTCTTGGAGCTTCACTAAGGCAATGTTGTTGTCTCCAGTATCCCTAGAATATTTGGAATGGACACGGTAGCCCTCTACCTTGATCTTTTGTTTCTTTTCGGGATCATTGTTTCCTGTGAAATATTACACATACAGTAGGTTGAAAGTGAGGAATCGGTGACAAGGACATACAGTATGTATGATTATCCTTGAAGAGAGAACAAATAAGCACACATTGTAGCTTTTGGGCTTGTTCACACCATGTCCGGACCATGTCCAGACCAGAACAGTTTGTTCCCAGACCAAACAAGCATCCCAAAGTATCCCTGTGGTATTTCTGGGCTCTGTTCGCACTAGCGTAGTATGTTCTGGTCCAGACAAAAAAAAAAAATACTACTTGTCTCATTTTCTCTGGTCTGGAATGCACTGGAACGCATCGGAAAAAAACACATTTTGTACTCACTGTAAAATCATTTTCTCGGAGTCCATTGAGAGGCACAACTTGATGATAATTAAGCAAACTAGGGTTATACTGCAGCCTACAGGAGAAATTGACAAATTTAACATTGAAGGCCACCCCCCTTAAGGCTACAACTCCTTCCACCTCACACCTGCTTAGTTGTAGCAAGCAGTCCAAAGAAAGAACAATATCATATGAGGGGAGGGAGCTGTGTTTTTATGGTGAGTACAAAAACTGTATTTTTTCGTTCGTCCACCGAGGGCGGGACTGTCCCTTTAATGAGGTAACCTGAGTCTATGGCCTCAGACAGCATCTCTTTGGGTAGTGTGGTGTCACTAGTTGGCAGGAGCTGGGCGGGACACTGGCCAGCCAGAGTGTTCTAGGTTGCTAAGAGCTGAGTGGGAACATGTAGTGCCCTTACACATCTCTGGGTCCGGCTCTTTGAAGCATCACTCTCCACCCTCCAATTGCATCATTGCTTGCATGCTCCACCAGCATCCCTGATGATAATTAAGCAACCTAGGGATGCTCTATAGCAGTCCAAACAGGGGAGCAGGCACACTAAAAGAAAGGCAAGCCATCCCAACAGGAGAAAAACAAAGGAAAAGTGAAACCAATGGCATTAAACAGCTGATTGCAAAACCTCTTAACCAAAACTAGCATCTGACGAGGCAGACACATTCACCTTACAGAACTTAAAGAGGTTTTGTTTTTCGGTTTAAGTTTTTCATTTCCTGGACATTGTCCCTTTTTTGATAGCATTACATGGATTGCAAAAGTGTATACAATTGTTTTGCAGCAACATTTTTACTTACTTGTTCTTTACCTACAGTATATTACCCTTAATTATCTAATCATGTTGTATATGTATTTTTTTTTCTCCTTTTATGCTTTTGTATTTTTTTACTGAGGAAAAACTAAAGAGAATAGAAAAAACAACAAAAAACCACATAGGGTATTTTCTAGCCAATCCAAAGATATAAGGGCTTGTTCGCACCATATTCGGACCAGATCTGGAGCAGAACTGCAAAAGCAGTACAGTGCGTTTTTTTTAGCTTAAAATCCTATTTTACTACCTGATGTAAATAGAAAATAACCTTTGCATAAATAATTAAAATGTATACTTTGTAAAACAAAAATCAGAAAATGTGAGGTAACTATGGAGAGATTTCCTATGCCGTTTAAAGAGATATGTAACCTGCTGTTACTTACCCACAATGACAAAAGAAGGTTTGTGCTGTTCTGTGCATTTGGCAGTTGTGAGCACTAGAGACTGGTTGATTATAACTCCGCTACAGTGTTGTGTCTCTTCTGCATTTAGGAGAAGAACCTTGAAAAAAAAAAAAGTATTTAATGGATTTACCAGGGAGATGTATTTCCTAGGTTGTACACATTGTTACCTAAAGGTTACCTGCCAGGGGAATATAGGCTTGAGCTTGTCTTGTGAACTTGATACTGTTGTAGCATCATCTTTTAGTAATTGTCCACATCCATAGGGATCTGTGTACAGAAGAAGAATGCAAGATCAGCTTTATTGAATGCATCAAGTTGCATTAATGTGCCTTGTCATTTTATCAGCTGTCGGAAGTGCATATAACCCATTACACTACTTTTCTATGCTTATAACACAATAAGCTTAATGCACAAAGCATTGTGAATATAGCCTATAGGCATGGGTGAGCAACCGCTGCACTCCAACTTCTGTGGAACTACAAGTCCCATAAGGCATTGCAAGACTTTGACAGCCACAGGCATGACTTCCAGTGGCAGAGGCATGAAGGCAATTGCAGTTTCACCACAACTAGGTTGCCTACCCCTGCTATAGGGACTTATTTAATCAGATGCAAATCGGAATGACGTAAGCGAACAAACCAATTTAAACAATAGGCTTAGAGAAGCCAGAAAATGTATTGGTTGTTGTTTTACTGCACTTTGCACTCTCTTGTTTGCTTTATTAAACAAAGGACAATGTTTTCTTTTGAATTCTATTCTACTTTACAGTGTATTAGTGTTACTGTACAAAGTACATAGTTAAAGAAGAAATGTAACTTTCCTTGCAGTGGTGCTAACCTCCTACTGCAAAGGTTAAGTGCTCAATTTATCTGAAATTCAATCCCACCCAACTGCTAGACCGGTCCCTGCAGCCTCTCTCCCGGCAGTCTAAGGAATGCTAATATCATCACATCTAAAGGTGCCCATACACTGCTCGATTCTCGTATGAGAATCGCGGGAAATCCCGCGATTGTACGAGAATCGAGCAGTGTGAACGAAGACGTGCGACCGTTTCTACTGTACGGCCGCACGTCTTTTGTCTAGGGAGCACGCTAGAAAACCAGCCGAAAATTGTACGATTTTCGGCTGGTTTGAACGGTGCTCAGGAGACAAATGCCGAACGGGCCGGTGTGCGCACGCGCACACTGCCCGTTCAGCATTGCGGTCATCGGAAGCACGCCCCTCAGCAGGGCGGGCTTGCGATGATCGAGAGTACGATCAACCTGTCCAAGATGGGCAAATCGTACGTTTTTTTTTATTACTTTACAACCATCGCAAGACTAAGTTCTTGCGATGGTTGTAAAGTGTATGGCCACCTTTATGCTCCATCCACATATAGTGTTTGTGCTTCCCACATGGTTTTCCGTGCTGAAGACCACATAGGACGCAAACACTATAATTTTAACAACTGCACAGATTCCGCTCGTTTGCGGCTATTATAGCCGCAAATGTGCGGAATCTGCCAAAAAATCGTACCTGTACTACTGCAAAAGTCTGAACAATGCACATTAAAGTGCATTGTTTTTTTTATGTTTAGAGCGGCTCAGCGCGTATTCGCACAGCCGAATACGCGCGGACAACCGCTCATATGTGAACAGAGCCTTATGCAGGTCCATTGACTTGCATTAGACGTGAGGAAGCCAAGGGACAGAGGTAAGTGCCAACCACTGTGATGCACAAGTCTCATAAAGTAAACAAAAAGCTCCTTTCACCTTCCCTGAGCCAAATCCTCCTTCATTTGTATCTCACATGGTCCCCCCCCTTCTCGTAGACACTGCAGCCTACAGTGTGAGGATTTCAGCTACAGAGACAGTGCTGTCAATCTAGAAAGCAGGAGACAGGGCTAGGTGGGGCCATGTGTTGATTGACAAGCTACAGGCTTGTGAATCAGATGTGACAATGCTGGTAACCATGCCCTCTACAACATCTCATCCCACTATAGTGCCAGCAGGTACAGCTTACATGAGAGTGGCAACTCTGCTCTGAATTCAGGAGCAGTGCAGCATTGTTGCCACAGCATCACAGAAAGCTGCATTAGGTGGACTTCATTGTCAGGATCAACAAATATTTGTGGGACATTGCAGGGGAGAAAACAGTAAGTGCAGATGCACTTATAACTCATTGTTGCCGCACATATTTTTAAGTAAATACATCTCTCAATTCTGTTCACACCAAAACATACATAGGCTGATATGTTTTATCCCTTTAAAAATGCTTCAAGCGCAGAAAAATCAGAAATCTAGCGTGCTCCTAACCTCCTTAAAGGAGAATTATGAGGCGAGTGATTTTCACTCAGCCTCATAATCTGAGCCGACCTGTGTGATAATGAAATTGTCACAGGTCGGCTCAGTAGATCGGCAAATGAGCGAACACATACCGGCGCTCGCTCACTTCTCTATCTATCCGTGCAGAGAGCCGTGACTGTCACTCACGGCTCCCTGCCGGGATCCCCCCCCCCCTCTCCCCTGTCCGATCCTCCAGGGCTGACTGGCGGAACGGGAGGGAGTGGGTACAGCTGGCTCTACCTCTAGATAGGCAGAGCCAGCTGTCACTCACGCAGCTGGGTGGATCCAGACAGCATTGTCGGGATCCATTCCGGCTGCCCCGTCTCAGTGTTCCGCGAGCTGTAGCTCGCAGTATACTGAGCTTTGGGTGACGGGAGGAGGCTAGTTTGTGTCCTCCCGCTACCCTTAGGAGAACTATGGGGATAAACACTGACCCCATAGTTCTCCTTTAACACTCTGCCTGTTCTACACTGAAATTCAATGCAGTGTTATCAGCCCTGCGCAGTTCTTTCTTTGGACCACAGAACACCTCCCCCATGTTATGAGGAGGAGGAGGAGATATTTTGTGTGATCAGCTTAAACAGGAAATTTGGAGCTCACTGGATTTACCGCAGGTATTTGCAAGTCTTTCAGAGATATACAGAACATGTTTTCCTATTTAACAGATAACTGTTAGTGAAGCATGAGGACATATATTAGATCCTTTAAAACAATTAAGACCTTTAGAGTTAAACTTAAAATCTGTTTTTAAAATTATTAAGAGATACTATATTTTCTACACAGCTCTCCTCCATGCTTCAATTCTCATCTGATTTTGACCGGTGTAGGCAATCTTGGCACTCCAGCTGTGTCATGCCTGTGGCTGTCAGAGTCTTGCTATGCATCATGGGGCTTGTAGTTCCACAACAGCTGGTGTGCCAAGGTCACCTACCCCTGACCTTAACTATCACTGAGTACTATGGGGGGAATTTATCATAATTGGAGCAGACAAAATCTGGACCAGTTGTCCATGGCAACCAATCAGCATCTCTCTTCAGTTTGCTCAGGTAAGAGTTGAAAATGAGACAGAGAAGCTGATTGGTTTCTCTGCTGCAGATTTTGTCTGCTCCAGTTTTGATAAATTCCCTCCTATGTGTTTTTATTGTTGTCACTTGCCTGTTGGGTGACACGACTTTTCATCTTCACCAAGCTTGTAGCCAGTTGCACAGGAGCAGGTGTAAAAGTCAAATCCATATCTGGGCTCACAAAAATGCTGGCATCCATCTTCCTCATCAGGATGGCATCCATTTACCTCTATAGGAAGTCAGTAATAAAATATACTGGTAAGAAACCAGGACATCTGTATACGCATTCTACTAATATTCTCCACCAAATGCCACCCCCAAGCTCTCATGCTGTTACTACATGTATCCCAGTTTTGACTTAACAGATAACACACGAAACACCTTTCCAATGGATACATTTCAGCTATACTTCTACATGGAACCGAGCTTTTTTTTTTTCAGTTCCTCCTCCATGAGGACACTCTTGAAGTAGACCTAGAGTTTGCCAACACCATGCTTCAAGCAGTGTGAGACACGTCAGTTGTATTTACAGTAAACATTTTGTAGTTGTTCCTTTGCACAGCCCACTTTCTTATCCATTCCACAGCCACCATTTTAATGGAGGTGCAAATTACGACTGGGCAGCTCATATTGTGCTGGCTTTCTCAGACATAAGCTTGCTTTACTTTTAATGCCTGGCCTCTTTATGTAGAAGTGATCTGGATGGCTCTCAGCTCACGATTGGCTCTACAATTCGAAACTACAGTCCTGAATTCTGGGCACTTCCAGGTTCAGTGTCAGTAGGATATTAGGGGAAACAAATGAAGAACAAAAGCAAAGAAATGTTGTGAAATAAGTTCTGATGCAGCACTTGTTGCACGAAAAGCTTATAGACTCATTTGGATTATATTTGATTGTCCACTGTGATATAGATTTCCATCTATAGGGGTGCTCTGTCTTACCCATTTGGCATTTCTTCCCTTTATATCCTCCAGGACAGCTGCAGATGTAGCTTCGAATAGTGTCTGTGCACACCCCATTGTTCATACATGGGTTAGAAGAGCACTGTCTACCACCTAGAAATACAGAAACAAACTCTGGTTATAGACAACATAGACATCTTATACCATTCATGTGTTGATAAATTCATTAATATCAATTCTATATTAGGTTATGAGTATACACTACAAAACCATATGAATGCACAATTTAATTACACAGGGTACTTTATTCCTTATAATGTATTAAAATACACATGGCCGTTTGACTCTGTAATAGGTAAACAGAGGCTGACCAAGACGGACAGACATATAATGGATATCTCTCGATTAAAATTAGGTCCTGTAGGCAGTACAAAAAAGCCTGGGCCATCTCAGATAGTTTGCCTTGCGATTGGACAATTATGTAAATGTTGGTGTGGTCTATTCGGGCAGAACTATCACTCTTTTTTAAAAGGTATCTATGGTCAAAAAATAAAAATAAATATGTATTTCTATATTGAACTCCCATAAGTTCTATCCCACTCCTAATAACCATATGGATGCCCATAGGATGTACTTAATGCACTGATACAATTTCACTAAGCCCTGTGAATATGAACCTTCTTGTGTTCCAACTCACAGAGACTGACTCCTGAGCTACAACTCAACATCTGAACTTCCCACAATGTAACATTATCATTGCTTGCTGGAAGCAATGCATGATGGGATATGTAAATTTCAGAAATCAAGATTGCATCACATCAAATAAGCAGGGAAAGAGGCAAAGCACACTGGGAATCCAGGAAGTTGTTGAAAGTGACGTAAAGGCAGAAGGCAGAACTCTACATAAAAGGGATTTTGTTCAAGAATGCTTTGATTGCCTTATCAGAAACAACTCTAGTATGTATTTCTATTACAATGCTGATATTATAACAGGATGGTATTTGCCGGGACTTTACAACTCCTTAAAGGGCAATTGTAGATTACTAGAACATTGTGTGGCTAGACAGTCGACTTCTCATTTTTGTGTGCATGTGTACATTCTCTTGCTAATAAGCAAGCACATTTAATTATTATACTTACAATAATATCCATTCCAGAACTGATCCTATAAAAGATAGATTAAAAAAATATGAACATACTCCAGTTGGATGGAACATGGACTATAAAGACACTATAAATTAATTGGCTAAGCATAGAAGGAAGTGACAGCTAAACTTGGAATATGTGTAGGTACGGTATAGAGCCTGGTTGCAACCGGCAGCCCGGGGACCACATGCGGCCCTTTAGCGCTTATTGTGTGGGCCTCTGCACCCCTGCAAACAGACGCCTGTGTTGTCTTTATTTCTTTACCCAAGATAATGAAATATTCTAAGTCAAGGCTGTCCCTACACTATTGGCCGCATGAGGTGAAGAGGGGGTGTGTTTGAATGGACATTAGTGGTGGATGCTCGTTACCCCGGGAGGGGGGTGGGGGGGTTGGTGAATGCTTGTTA